TTGATCAACGCCGGCGTGGTCGAGGGTGGCAGTACCTTGTTCGATGGGCCGGTTATGATGAAGCAGACGACATCTGGTTACCAAGACGCGAACTCGAACAATCTACGGCGCTCGACAACTGGCTCAAGAGCCATCCTGAAGCTTCGCAATCTCCTTCGCCCGTCGCAAGTTCTTGACAATGGGGAAGGGTGTAATCCCGCGGATTACTCCGGCGCGCGTCCCAAACTTTCAGCCACAGCGCTTCCTAATAAGGACTCGACACTTCCATTTCTGTCACGACTTCACTCGACTTCGAATATAAGCTACATTTCTGTCAAGACTCTATTTCATTTATTCTTCTGTGATATTATCATGTTGTCGCGTCCGACTTATAAGTCGACGCTCCCCAGTTATGTACCCTAGTTCCGTTTTCCCCCACCTGCTCGAATACGACGATTGGTCTCGTTCTTTCCGCGCGTGCCGTTCTGAGTGTTGCCCGTCCCTGTCGGGCTTCCAATGTGCTGTGTAGTCTGTTGTAGACTCGATCTCGTAGCTCATCAAGGTAGATAGCAGGCTCTCCCTCAATAACTGATCACACGAAGTTCATATCCTGCATGTCCAGAGTGCGCGGCCGGCCTCGAGGTCTAGCATTCGGGTTGATGACTGTGCCGTATTCCGTGTAGAGTCGGAGAACTTCAAAGACTGTGCTTATGCTGCATCCCGCAAGCTCAGAAATCACTTGGAGTGTCTTGTTTTGCTCATGGCGCCAGACAATGATACGTTCACGTAGTTGTCGAGTGAGGTGAACCATGGTACCAGCCAGTCAATACTTCAAGTTCGAGACGTCGATGAATGCTATCTGACAGTCACGCAGTCACAAGAAGCCATCTCGCATTACTGCATATGGGTATATTTGGCTCGAACAAACAATGCTCACGGAAACCCGATTTTCGGTTTCATATGCAAGCGACTGTAATCTGTCAAGATGGGTGTCCCCCGACATCTGACTCGCAGGCACACAGACTCAGTTTAAATTTCTCGAGGCTGACCGCAGGAACAATCCAACGGTGTCTGAATTGTAGAACTGCCGGGCCCAGAGAGGACCCTCCGGGTCAAACCGCCAGTGGCAGACCGCGAGGTTCCTGCGAGGTTCTGCGGGTCCTCGAGGCAGGCGAAGACACGTACGGTAGAAGGTCAAACTTTCGCACACGAAGTCGACATTTCAGTAAATATAAGCATCAGATGAGATGAGCCATCCCGCTATCGCGCGTCTTATCGAATGAAGGGTCGCTGAAAGCATCAAAAACGCAGATCAGGCAGCATGATGCGCCATCGACCGAGCGGAGATAAGACGACGGAGGGCTATTAGAGTCGGAACAGAATATTCTGAGCTCCCCACGGGGATTTTGAGGAGTATACCAAGAAGGAGGTCTAATAGCACCGACCTTCGGTACGACCAGGCCGAATTGGACGGGCCGGTATTAACGCTACTGGCCCCTCGGTCAACTGAGCGGCCAAAGGGTGGGGACACACCTTCTCGTATATGTTGTATGCCCGAAGGATCCGAGGACGTAGGTCAGAATACGTGAAGTTTATTCAAGGAAATGAATTCGACCTGGTCATGATGACGGCCAAAGTGATAGACCGCCCGATAAGCACAAACAGCCTGGGACTGACGATAGTATGACACGTAAATGAAGGGCAGCGTAACGTGAGGTCATAAACCGAACGCCAGAGGGAGGTGGCATTTCTCGTGATGGTCCCGTGTCGGCGCAAATGAAATCGACATAGGACGGGGAGGGGCGCGTGCATGCTCTCATTCGTCGAACGGTGAGTGGTACTGCGAAACTCTCTTTGAGCAGATAGATCGCCTGACTGGGGCGCAGGGAATCAAAGTTGAGGTACTCGGGAGAGGCCGCAGCGTAGGGTGCGGGAAAGAAGCGATATATACAAACGTGCGTTCTAGTCCTGAATTGAAGACCCCGATGCTAAAGGCGGAGGGTATATTGGCGAGCTATGGTCCGCTGTACTATTGTGACGGTCGAGTGGGTCTCTGCGAATATTGTGGCCGCCCCGCATTGAACAGAGGAGCCAGGCAGGCAGCGAAGACGAAGCAGGTGGCTCAGGAGGAGGGGGTGCACGGAGGGACGGGGTGCTTAGTCAGCAGGGTGGCCCGGGTCCCCAAGCACGTTTCTGGGATAATAGCGTTGGACATCGTCACTGGACCGAGCAACGGGCGTCCAAGTTTCAGCAACCGCACCGCGAAAAAAAAACACAAAAATACGACAAATCGTTGCATCCGACCCAGCGCTTGCGAAACATATATCTACTGCCACGCCTTTCCGTTTCCTTTCTTCCGCTTGCCAGGTCTGAGCCACAGCCGTAGCCTGCTGATCAGCACTGGAACTTATCTCCTGCTGCTCTGCTTATGGGGCCGGTCTCTGATGCAGTAACCTCGCCCGAGCACCATCGCTTTGATTTCCCCCCTTCGCCGCCCAGTTCTGCTGCAGTCACTGCCCAGTCGTCGCCGCGCCTGTCTGCCCGAAGCCTGTCGCAGAACGACCAGGACATCGCGGTTAAACTTTCCTCGGCGCCGGTTATCATCAGGAGACCCTCGCACAAGTCGGCGTCCAGGCCGCTCCTCGTACACGGCGATTCTTCGGCCGCTTCTTCGTCGAGTAATGCTCCACAACAGCACTCGCCGCGCAAGCGTCTCTCCCGCACCTCGACGGCCAGAGCAGTTACCCTGCCCACTGCTCGTCCATGTATCCCGGAACGTTCTTCGACTTCGTCCACTACGTCCAGACCGTTAGCACGTCGGTCTTCGTCCACTTCAAGTTCGTCCCTCTCCCCTCCAGGCGAGGAACTGACTATGCAGCACGCCTCACCGGCTGGCATCGGCCGTAAGGTCGCTGCTACCCTTCAGCTGTTCAAAGAGTCCACCGGGACCCCGACGACCGAGGAGCCCAACCCTCTCGAGCAGCCCAGATCGGTATTAGCCAAGAGGAGAGCAGGATCATTCCATCAGGGAGATGATGTCGCTCAAGCACGCTTTGAGTTTGTTAAGAGGTCTGACTGGCCGGACCGCGAAGCGGCCGCGGTGCGCAGGGACAGGAGCAAGGTTACTCTGCAGCGAGTCAAGACGCAAGACAGCCTTACAACTGCTAGAACGTCTTTATTGAGAGAAAGTAGCGTGGACGATTTAGCCCAATGGCGGCAGGCCGTTGTGTCGTCTCGCGACGATATAGGTCGTGGTCGGCGACGCGAACGGAGGTCTCGTCCTGAATCCCCCGTTGCACTACAACCATCGTCACCTGGTTCAGATACATCTGTGTCATCTGCCGCTACATTTCAGGATTCACATGAGAGGCCTCCTCTACCCTCCCCGTCTCTTCACCGCCGCACACCTGTATTTCCTCCATCCCCTTCGCCTTCTCGCCCTCCTCTAGACCGTGTCCCTCCGCCTTCACCCCGCAGGCCCTCCGATCATCCTTCATCGGTCCAACGGCCCACACTATCCGATGTACCTCCGCCTAGCAGACTCTTACATCGATCGTCGTCACCGTCACCCCCGCGAGCGGATGATGAGGACTACGGACTCTCCCTTGATCCCTTAACCCCCCCACCCCCAGCTCCTACGTCGTATTCCCCTTATTCTACGGACGATGAATCGGCCTGGGAGACCGCTTCTATATCTACCACAGCGACCACCACCACCACATCGTCTCCCTTTCCTCGTTCCCCGCTCCAGCCTACATCCACTTCTTTACCCCCGCCGCTGTTGCGATCACCCGATGATGATGACGATGACCGAGGGAATGAATATGCTGGTGCACCGCATACGGATGAGCCCGCAGCAGACTATCACACCAATGACATTAATGATTACCTCGATGTTGATTGGGACATCCCGCCTGATGGTCTTCCTCATATTCCTCTGCGACCTTTCCGTAACCAGGTTGGTGGCCACACACCGATATATAAGTTCACCAAGCGTGCAGTATGTAAGGTAAGCGCTAATGATCCGCAGTTCATCTCGATCCTGCCCCACGCTAACACTCGATCCGATCTTCTTTTCATTATAGCCTCTGGTCTCGCGCGAGAACTTGTTCTACGAAGCTGTGGAACGTGAAGCGCCGCCTTTGCTTGAGTTCATCCCGCGCTACCTCGGTGTGATGCTCGTGCAATATCGGAGGGTGCCTCGCGAGTCTAACTTCGAGTCCGGGTTTCACGAGAAGGGTGATGCGACGCCACCAGCGCGGCCGCCACTGCACAAGGCTGCGACGGAGACCCCGACGAGATCAACGCCGAGGCCAATACCGAAACGGCAAGGTCCTTCGCCAGTACGAGATCAGCACCATGGCGATTCGGAGCCGTCAGAGGCGGAGATGCCGGAGGTGGCCCTGGACTACAACCGGCACATTATTCCGCAGTGGATGCTGCAGGGTCCGCGGAACCGCGCGATGTCCCAGTCGTATGCGACGGGTGGGTCGTTCTTCAGTAATCCTGCTCATCGCCGACTGCGCCCGCATTTGAGCGGTGGGACGGCCTCCTCGCCGGATCTTGCCCTGAATCGGGTCCTGGAAGGGAATGGGTACAGACCACGCCCGAGTCCACTTGCGCAGGGTCAGAGCTTGGGAGTAAGTCTGAACGCACCAACACCGGCGAACTCGCCCAATGTACCCGCGCGGACTTTGCCGCTGCCTTTGAATGGTGCTAAGACTACCTCGCCGAAGGACAGGGATAAGTTCGTACATTCCGCCGATGAGGACGATCATGCCATCAGAGGGCGGCCAGCGATGAGGGAGTCACTCTCAGACCGCGCTGTTATACCGCCTCAGTCTCCAGGATTCGTGTTGACCAACGGGTCGTTCGGTGGGACGGGATCTACAATGGTCAATCAGAGGTTCAAGGATCATGTCTTCAGCAGCATCTTGCGCAGGTTCACTAAACGCGCGAAGAGGCGCTGGGGCAGCGTGAGCGGTATCCGGACGGAGGATGAGGGCGACGCTGATTGCGAAGGCGAGGGCTCCGACCGTTTCGTGCGGAGGAAGAAGGCGTCTGGTCCCGTTGAGAGGCTGAAGCGCGAGGAGGCAGATCTTGGTGGTACGACTCTGCGGCGAGTGCAGAGTGAGGCCTCTCTTTCGAGGACGCCTCAGGAGCAGGACGACAAGTCCGGTGAGCCGGGAAACAATCGCACGACAGACATATTCGACTTCGAGGAGGAACGAGTGTTGCCTATCGAGCGTCAAGGCGGCCTTTGTAATCATCAGTTCTCCTCGCCCTTGCGGAGGCGGAGTCGGTCACGTTCGTTAGAGCCTCCTGCCTTGATTCGTGAAGTGTCTGGACAGCGTCGTATATCAGAACCCCCTGTAATTCCTGAGCAGCCCGAGTCGAGCGCGCCGGTGACGAGGCAGAACCACTTCATCCTTATGGAGGACCTGACTGGCAGGCTGAAGCGGCCGTGCGTCTTGGACCTGAAGATGGGCACGCGTCAGTACGGTATGGATGCCACGCACGCCAAGAAGAAGAGCCAGCGCAAGAAGTGCGAGTACACCACGAGCAAGGCGCTGGGTGTGAGGCTATGTGGCATGCAGGTAAGTGTCAGATTCTGTGTTGGCTTCCACGCTGTGACTTTGGATCGCAACGGGCGCCTCATTTTTCTGCTTATATATAGAATATGTGCACTGACTCTTGCCCCCTTTTGGTAAGGTCTGGAATAACAAGACGCAGTCCTATATGACCCAGGACAAGTACATGGGCCGCAGTGTTCGTCCGGATGAGTTCCCCTCAGTTCTCGCGTCCTTCCTGCACAATGGCGAACGCCTGATGGCTTACCAAATACCCCCTCTCCTCCAAAAGCTGTACGCGCTGGCACGCATCATTAACCGTCTGAAAGGATTCCGGTTCTATGGGTGCAGTCTGCTTCTGATTTACGAGGGCGATCCCGAGGTACAAGCTGCTTACAAGGCGGCCGCTTGCGAGCATCCTTCTTCTCGCAGTAAGCGAGGAGAGTCCCTGGAGCGAAACCGTAGCCGAGTGCCCCGGGAGAGCTCGGAGAGGCAAGAAGAGCGGCCTACCCTTCGCCGGTCGCATAGCGAGGACTTGCTCGTCGGACCCGTCACCAAGCGTTCGGGGCGCCGCCGGAAGCGTGGTGAAGTGAACATACGTATTGTGGACTTCGCCCACACCACCACGGGCAGCGACTGGCTGCCGTATCCGGAGGATCTCGACGAGGAGCGTGCGCAGGTGGTGACGAGCAGCAAAGGTTACAGGGCTGAAATAGATGCGGAGACCGGCTTGCTCTATGCGCGGTTCCCGCCACATTACCCCGACCAGCCGGATCGTGGTTTCCTCTGGGGTTTGAAGAATCTTTCGGAGGCGTTGGAGAGGATCTGGAACGAGGAGCGGATACGGAGGATCAAAGTTTCCAGGGACGACCCCTCCATCGTGGCGCACCAGCTGCCGCCGTTATACACTGAAGGTAAAGAGATCTTCGAGGAAATCTTTGGCACCCCTGGGGAAGATCAGGACCCTGGAATGATCTCGACATAATGATAAACAACATATTCCTTTCCTCCTTTCTTTTATGGCTGTAAATTTACATGGTACGTTGGTGTCCGTCATTTCCTGCACGTGTATTTAAGGACCAGCTGCATGTTCCAACATTCACCCTGTCTAGACTGCATATCTATAATACGGTCTCGCTCTTGTAATTGTAGCTTAGGCAATGCCATGTTGCATATTTCTTGTTTCAACCTGGTTGGACCGCGATAGTCAAGTCGCCTCAGGACGAAGTGCCAAGTTTGCGAGGTGCACTTTCAAGTCCTTGACCAGGGTGTTCTGGATATCTTCCTCAACGATCGGTTATTACGACTGTTACGCAGCATTTTGCCTACTGTCTCACGTAGACCCTTGTGAGAGGTTCACTAGCAAGACGCGAGAAAACGGCGGACTGAGAGACAATGTGACAACACGCGCACTCACGGAGCTGAAAGGACTGGGTGCCTTGGCCATCACAACAGCAGCTTGATACGGATACAGAGAGAGCAAAATGGAATTATGCCGCCCAGGCGAACAGAGTGTTTTGTATCTCTATGGCTGTCCGACAGGCCCCAGCACATTACTCTTCGTCATCCTTCTGGATGTATCTGTCACGAATATCCTTCCATTGCTTCTGCAAAGGGGATGAGCGTACTGCACGAATAGTATGAACAGGTAGAACGGACCCCTCGGTTCCATGTGTCCCAGAACTTGGAGATTCCGATGTCAAAGCCGACGCCGAAAGCAAACGCGCCAGCAAAGATCGTGGAGACGTAGATACCTGGCGGGGGCGCAAGACGATCAGCCGTCTACGATGACGAGGGCATACCCGACTACACTCACTGTTCCGCCTCACGATGGAGTTGTAGAATGCATTGGAGAGCTACAAACAAAGCCGAGTTTGAGCTATAATATTCCGAGAAATGTTGTAACGCAGCATACCGCCATGGTGAAAGGCTCCGACACCGAGGGTCCTGCAGCAGAGGTTGGTAGCAGCGAAATGCAATGGGCAGAACGTCGTTGGCAGCGGTTCCGTCAAGGTCCGATTCCAAATAAGGCAATGATCGGAGCACAAAATATTCGGTTTCGAAGCCTGCGCTGGAGTTCAGTATTATGCTGAGGCCATAGGCCTGACTTGGTGTTGCTCTCCATGCTCTCATTCGTGCGCCATGCGCTGCGAGCGCAGGCCAGACGCAGGTCGGCGACGGCATGCATGTCTACATCTACAGGCCCTGGTTCTACGACTTACCACGCCGCAATCCAAGAACTCTCAGGCAGGGGCACAACACCTCCGAATCCTGCCGCTCCTTCCACTCCACAATCCTACGTGGATGAAGCGAACACGACTACCCCTGCCTCTAGCGGCTCTGTCACGTCTAACCCACTGCATCTCGCCCGGAAGGCGAAGGAGCGCGGCGAGGGGATCGCACTGCTCGCGGACAAGTACAACCTGCACGTCTTCTCCTCACGCAATAACACGCGCGCGACGTTCACGCGCGGGGACGGCAAGATCATTCGCTGGGCCACGGGCGGGTCATGCGGGTTCAAGGGTGTGAACCGCTCGAGCTACGAGGCGGGTTACCAGGTCGCCGTGCGGATGTTCAAGGCGATCGCGGAGGAGCGGGAGGCGCTGGAGGGTATACGGGGGATGCAGATTGAGCTGATATTCAAGGGGTTCGGGCAGGGAAGGGACGCGATGTCGAAGGCGCTGTTGACTGCGGAGGGGACGCCGGCGAGGGAGGTTATTGGGAGGATAACGGACAGGACGCCGATCAAGATTGGGGGAACGAGGGCCAAGAAGATGAGACGGTTATAACGTAGGTTTGCTCGATACAACTCAGGAATGGGGGGCTCATCCCGCACGTAGCTCCTTCCCGTGTGTTCGCTGGTCTGGGGTTTACCCCCAGCAAGCGCGTGCAGGAACGCGTCGCGCGCGCAACATGGACAAGCACTCGTACTCTGCCGCAGAACGCCCCGTCCTGGGCCCGTCATGGCGCTATAGACCAGGGATGGTCCGTGTCGAATGCGGGAAACCCTTTCGGTGTCCAAAAGATGGAAAACACCGCGTCCCACACCGCTACCCCATTGTATCTTCGTGCTCACATGCCTTGTAGCATATCACCCAATAATATTGATTGCTTTGGAGAATAGCATTGCACATACAGCCTCCGTCACCCTCCTTCTGCCAGGAAGGAGCCACCCCCAACATCCGTCAGAAATGATTGACTCCGGAGCTCGTTTCTCTGAGTGCGTATTGAAGAATCATCGTAATCATAACGTTCTAAGTGGGAACAACCATGCCAGCGTTATGTGTTGAGTGTCACCTGCAGGACACTGTGCTTTCAATGGTTTTCACGTGTGCGATCTTTACAATGCGCGGACTGGTTTTGGAGGATGCACGGTGCGGAGATTGAGGCCTGGGGGACGACGACAGGGCTTCCTTCCTAGCTACGGCCCTAAAGCTAAACAGATTGTATTGTATTCAGAGGCTGATGTTCCATAGGCAGTTATCAGTCACATAACCATGAACGAGAACTCGGAGGAGGTACAACACCTGGTACAAATGCACAAACGCCAAACGCCACAAGTCGCGAGAAGTCTCGATATTGTCGCCAGGAAAGGAAGTTGCACGTGGCTGTCACATCTTCGGCAAGGCTCATCGTCCCAAGAGCTCAAGCGCAAAAGGCCATCGACAGCGACGACAGGCTCGGTGAGTACATATCTCCTCGATGGAATGCTGTAAGAGCGTCGGACGGTGCGGGACTGTTGCTATGAAGGCTGGAGAGCGAGTGAAGTGGAGCGGAACGGGATGGATGCGTTAGGTTGAGTTTGGATGCTGATGCGCCGACCGCTGCTCTGCTAGGTCCTACCACCACCCTCAAGATGTCCGTCCAGCACAAGATCCTCCGCACGGCCAACGCGCCCACCACTCCCCCAGATGAGACCGAGACAAGCGTCGCGCAGGCCCTGATCGACCTCGAGAACAACGTCCCCGAGCTCAAGACTGAGCTTCGCCCCCTCCAAATCTCAGCAGCACGTGAAGTCGATGTCCGGGGCGGCAAGAAGGCCATCGTCATCTTCGTCCCTGTCCCTCAATTGAAGGCCTTCCACAAGGTCCAGCAAAGGTCTGTATGCAGCGCTGCAGTGTTACACGGAATGCGGTACTAAAGCGATACTGCTATGCTACTGCCAGGCTGACCCGCGAACTGGAGAAGAAGTTCTCTGACCGCCATGTTGTTTTCGTTGCCCAGCGCCGGATGCTGCGCAAGCCCACCCGGACGTCCCGTGTCAAGCAGAAGCGCCCTCGCAGCCGCACGCTCACGAGCGTGCACGAGAAGATTCTGGAGGACTTGGTGTTCCCGACGGAGATCGTCGGCAAGAGGACCCGGGTCGCCGTCGATGGCTCGAAACTCTTGAAAGTGTGCGTACGGGTTTCACTATCGTTTCGCGCTACCGCGCTGCGCTGCCACGGTACAGCATCGCTCACGCTGACATATCCCGATCTAGTTTCCTTGACTCGAAAGACGCCACATCACTCGAGTACAAGCTTGACTCGTTCTCGTCTGTGTACCGCCGGCTGACGGGGAAAGACGTTGTGTTCGAGTTCCCTGTGGTCGCGCAGGAGTAGGTGATTTTGGGACTGGATTCCGCCATGCGCGCGTGATAGGGCCGATATGACATGTTCTGCGGTTGTACTACGATCTCCCAAAATATATGGCATATGCCCGTTATGTGCAGCTCTTCTTTTCTCTTATCTTTGGGTACGCTAGCGTAACTCCCTGATGCTGTGATCACGCCCAAGTTCCGGGAGTGTATGTATGAATGAATCGAGTTTGGTCCGATGCGAAGAATGGTACCGGCGAGTTTATAAGGGCATCGGGTCCCGCGCCCGCGCCCGGTGTCGCTTAGGGGCAGTGTGACAGCCACCAAGACAAGTCCTCCACTGTGGACGCTCATTATTCTCTTCTTTCCCGTTACTCTGCCTCTCTTTTCTCTCCTTTCCCTGCCCTAGCGGCGCTGTCGCGTCTTAGCCTTCACCGTCGTCTGCACTTGCAGCGGGACAGCGCGAATGGATCCCTACAAGCGGTCCCGATACGAACATGGGATAGATGCGAAGATAGTGGTCATGGGCAACACTGGTGCGTCCTTTCCGCCATCGGCCTGGCAGATATGTGGCGACTGTCTGCGGGTTAGTCACGACCTCATCTGACACGTGTGTTTTGCGCAGGCGTTGGCAAGACCAGCCTATTGCGCCGATATACCCAGGGCAAGTTCGACCCGAAGAATACCACGTCGACGACCGGCGCTTTTTTCGTTACCAAGAAGGTGGACATTAATGGGATGAAGGTCAGGCTGCAGTTGTGGGACACGGCGGGGCAGGAGCGGTTCCGGAGCATGGTGCGTGAAGTTTGCGGTTTCGAACATGCCCGGGTGATAACCACGCGAAGGCATGCAGGCGCCTATGTATTACAGGGGAGCGAACGCTGCTTTGCTCTTGTACGATATCACGAATGCGGCGAGTTTCGACGACGTCCGCGGCTGGTTAGAAGGTCTGTCCGTGGCTCAGTTTCGCTCTCAGCCCACAGTCATCGCTGACACGTCCGTTTGGATAGAATTGAAGAAAAACTGCACGCCTGATCTTCTCATTTACATTGTTGGCGCCAAGGCGGATTTGAAGGAGAAACGGCAGGTCACGTCTGACCTTGCCCGCCTCCAACTTCACAACTGGTTCCCCCCTCCCCGCCCGCCATCTCCCCCTACGCCCCCGCCGCAACCCTCTACCTTTTCCTATATTCGTCCCCGATTCACCTCCTTCACGAGCGCGCGCTCCGTCCCACTCAACTCCCCATCCCGAGCTAAGTCACCTCCCCGCGAGCCGTCCTACATCGATGCACCAGTCACCCGCCCCTCTGCCTCCGCGCTCAAGCGGAGTCACACGAATGCCGTACCCAGCAACATGCCCCGAGCACGGACGACGTCGAACCTCGGGCTGAACCGCGCTAATTCTACCACCGCGGCTGTTCGGTTCGAGCAGTCGAAGGAGGAACGGTCCGAGGCGACTTTCGGTTCCCGCTTTGGTTCGCACTTCGGGTTGCGGACAGGGTGGAACGAGATCCCGGACACCAATAGCAACAGCCTGGACGAGGACGAGTACGAGGAAGAAGACGAGGAGTGGGGGACGGGCAAGGATATGGTGCTATACGAAGTTTCCGCGAAAGATGATTTTGGTTTGTTACTAAGATCCACTGATTGGGATTATGGCTGACAAACCTGACAGGTATCCAACAATTATTCGACAGTGTGATTCAAGCGATAATCGAGCGAAGAGATGTCATCGAACGAGAAAATGAACTGAAAAAGCGCGATAGCGTCTTTTTGTCGTCGAGTACGCCGACGTGGGCGGCGCAGTCGGACGACGAAGATGCGCTGGAGGAGAAGGGTCGCACCACCTCGTCATGGAGTTGCTGCCAGACATGATCTAAAGAGTATCGGTGTCCGATCTCGCTTTCGATCTCAAGTATTCGCAGCTTGCCTGCTCCCACCCCCTGCCCGCCCGCTTCCCCCCGAATCTTCCAAGCCAACTCCTCGCTACCTGGCCATCACCTGCCTCAGCTAGGGTCGCCCCTTCCCAACCCTATGTTTCCCCGAGTCCTCACATTTCATGACCGTCATGCCCTTATGCCCGCAACACATCACTCTCATCACTAGGACAATGCTTGCCTCTGAACCACCACATTATCCATATCCATTTTGATACCTCCCAGCTATGATCTCGTCTCTTGTTATCGCTGCTCGCCGGTTCCTGACTTATTCTCTCTCTCCCGCTCATCCCTCTCCCCCTCGTCTGTCTGTCCGTCTGCGTGTTTATCCTATTATCATACAATCTCGATACCTAGCTCTGATGTTTTGTTCTCTACCTCATGATTTCCCGTCCTATACGTATTATATGTCTATACTATACATCGTCGCTAGTCGATCGCAATTTACTTTGGACTGCTGTTCCCGGCCTTGGATATTCAACATCGTGTCCCCTGAGTACCGGGTTCCCTCTACTAACATCGCGGATCTACTAGCATCTCGGGAGGCAATAAATAGATAGTATTGAGTCTATATTGAAACAAGCGTACGAATGTGCATTAGGGTCTGTGTAGACAGCAAGAATGAGAGCAATAGCACATGATTACGAGTATTATGTTACAACATCCCGAGGTCCAACCGCAGAGTAGAGTCCGAAGCAACCAAAAAGACCAAGAACAAGACTACAAGCACCTTCACTAGCACTCTCAGTTCACCGGGCGATCCAGCTCCTTGACGATCAGCTCATTCGTGACTCGCGGGTTGTCGAGGTACACTATTAAAGGCACCGTGCTCAGAGCCCGGGCGAGTTCGAAGCAGAGACGAATCAGGTGGACTCACCATGGTGCCCCGCATGCGGGACGACGTACATCCGCCCGTTGCCGTTCCCCGCTTTACGCAGGTTCTCGACAGACTCCGTGCCGCCCTGCGGGTCCATCCAGTCCTGATCGCCGTCTATCGCGCAAGTGTGTATCAGGATCAGTCAAACAAGCCAAAGTCCAGACTGGAGGTGCGGAAAGACGTACAGACGAAGGTGACGGGTATCTTGAGCGCGGCGATGCGGTCGACGAGCGGCATGCGCGCGTGTGCCCCGGGGGCGAGGATGTGTGCTAAAGCGGGCGATCAGCGGGTGAAGCAGCGGGGGCAATGGGGTCCGGCTCACATATGCAGTACTCGCCCGAGCCCTTGGCGAGGGTGATGTTCAGGATGTAGTCGTGCATGTTCCGCGTTTCCTCTTCCGTCAGCCCGGTGAATCGGCGGGAAGAGTACTATCAAGGGAGGTCAGCCCCTACTAAATAACGGAGGTGCCACGCGGAACGCACCTTTCCGACGAGCATGGGGCCCCAGAAAAGCGTCGAGCGGACGACCTGGAAGGGGCTCCAGCCCTCCTCCCAGAGATAGGTGAAAAGCTTCCGCGCGCGGCTCTCCTGGCGCTTCTGCTCCTTCTGCTGGTCCTTCAGGCTGCCCACCCGCCCCTTCGTCGCGGGCTCGGGGTGGTCCTCGTCCGAGCCCTCCGCCACCTGCGCGTCCGTCACCTCGCGGCTGGGCATGGTCGTTCCGTTCGGGTCGCGCGGCACGCCGGCCGGCGAGAGCAGTATGAGCTTGTTCACGCGCGCGGGGTACTTGAGCGCGTACACGACGCTGAAGTACGCGCCGAGCGAGTGGCCGACGAGCGTCATCTTCTCGAGCCCCATCTTCGCGCGCCACTCCTCGAGCGAGTCGACGAAGAAGGACTCGGCCTCGGCGACGCGCGCGGGGATGTCGTCGCGCTTCGCCTTGACCGTGAACGGGACGCGCGCGGAGCGGCCCATGCCGAGCCAGTCGAGCGCGAAGACGTCGGTGCCCCGCCGGCCGGCCCAGTCGGCGACGGCTTGGAAGTTGCGGAAGTAGAAGCCGAGGCCGGCGCCGTAGCCGTGCAGCATGACGGCGGGGGGAGGGGCGGTGGGGGAGCGGGTCGTAGACTTGATCGAGAGGGTATTGATGTAATGCTTCGGGGTATTGAGGTCAACGCGTGAGCTGGTCGCGACGACAGGTCCTTCATGGACGGATGATGATGAGCTGGAGGGTCGGAAAAAAGGGAGCTGTCTGCAGTCGATCAGCCTCACCACCCGGGTCTGGGGTCAATCAGAGACATACCTAAGCAATCGCTGCTCCGCCGCGGCGCTCTGGTTCTCGCCAGCATGCCACCTGGATTGAAAGTCAGCAATGCCCAAACACAGAGGACAATCCACTTCACCAGCTCTTGAAACTCGACACGAGATTAGAGGGAATATCCTTGGCTGGGGGCAGGACGGGGAGGGCGTCGGCGGCGGCGACGGTTGCAGCAGCAGGTGCAGCCATTACTGGTCTAAACCGCGAGAGTAGAGTAGGTCTAAGAGCCTGAATGATGTCTAGTGTCTATAGTAGATGAGAGCAGAGAGAGAAATAGCAGGGAGGACGGCACAGCACGCAGCGCAACGCCGCCTGCCGCACGAGGACGTCACCTTGCGGGGTGTTCTCGGCCCGGCGGTCTCGCTGCGGACTCGGTTTCCCACGCGGCCTGGATGTAATCGCGCTCATTGTCGAGGGAGGTCGCCTGCAGGTGAAGAAACCCAAAAAGCATCGAGCTGTAGTCCTCACTAGGGTGCGATTTAGCAAGACTGGGAATGACCAGAGCACTTGAATTTACCGTCCATCAATGACATTCGGACAGCATTCGGACAGTTTCGATCGTAAAACAGCCACGCCTGCTCACGACGCCCTATTCCGTTTGAACTCCTCGACCCATTTCTTCTCCTCGTCCCCTTTCGGCAATATCACCACCGTCACGCACCCATCCTTCAGCTCCAGCCCATCCTTCTCCTCCCCCGGCTTCTCCTGCGCCGCAGCAAACAAATCCTTCAGCGACATCTTCTTCCCCACCTTCAGCAGCCGCTTCCGCCGCGTAATCCCGTATATCACCAAGTTCCCGTCGACGTACTCCCCCTTCTTGTCCCATTCAGGCGGAGGCGCGTTCGGCGGGAACATGGTCGAGATGTGCAGGGAGAAGGGCGTGTCCTCGACGAACGTGGGGACGATGTCGGAGGTGGCGTATTGGGGGTAGAGGAAGAACACGGGGAATATCAGCGTCTTGCCTGACGGATCTTCCGGGTCGAAATGGGGTTCGTACGGGTTGGGCGGGGCGTCGGGATCGTGCACCGAGAAGATATGCCGTTCCTGATACCTCTTCAGCCTCGCGCAGTAACATTCACACACCCTCACTCACCTCTAACGCTTTCCTCATCTTCATCTTCTCCTCCCGCTCCTTCCTCATCTTCTCCGCCTTCTCCCTCTCCCTTCTATCCTTCTCCTCCTTCTTCCTGCTCACCTTCTCCCGCACGCCCTGCACGCCTTTATTATCCCTATCATACGCCAGACACCGATCACAGCAGTCCAGCGCCTCCTCCAGCTTGTCCAGCGCGAGCAACGCCAGCGCGGAGCGGTAGTACGCCTTCGACGACCGGGGGTTGATCGTCAGCGCCCTCGAGCAGTCTTTCAGGACCGAGCCGTAGTTCTCTGTTCCCTTACTCCGATCAGTCCCTTTGTAGATGAGTAGCATGGAACGCAAGGGGACTCACGCAGCTCGAGGTTACACGCCGCGCGGTTGCACAGCAGGGCTTCGAGGATAGCCGAGTCTTGCGGCTTCGCGTCCAGCCCCTGCGTGTAGAACCCCAGCGCCTCGCGATAGCGCTTCCCCTTGAAATAGTCATTCCCCTGCTCCTTGAAATTCTGCGCGATCTCTGGCGGGCCGTGGCTTGAGCGACTCTCACATTGAACGAAGAGAATAGAGGCTCCTCACCCACCATCCGGCGTTCCCTCGTAGATCAGGCTCTGCAGCGCGTCGAGCGACGGGGCCGCTGCGTCCTCGCTCTCCGGGAGGGACTTCATGAAGAGCGGGACGGAGTCGAATTCTTTTATCTTCCTGTCGATGTCGTCTTGCTGCAGCGGCCGCGGTCCCGCGATGGCAGGAGTATTGTCCGCAGACATGATGAGCGGTTGTTATGAGAGAGTCGACTACAGCTGTATCAGAGACTAGCGGATCGATGTTGAGGGAGGCAATCAAGAGTCAAAAGCAAAAGTGAAGCCCAAACAAATCTAGGCGAGATAACCGCGTGCTCTGATCCATGTTTATTCATGGATTATGACTCGGATGCGGTCGGAAGCTGAAGGCGTTATAAATTGGACGTAACGTCAACCTGTAGGCCAATGCAGGTCCGAGGACTCGCAGCGGCGCTGAACAGCAGCGGGAGGTACAAGTACAAGGTGGGCAAGCCGACCCGAGATGCTACCACCTACCACGGCTGAACACAATGTAGTCGCCCGAGTATGCGGTGGATTATCTGGTTGTAGGTGGAGGTACGTGCCCATGGGGTTGCTGTAATGATAGCCGTCTAAGACTCAATGGCGTCAGGTGTCGTTGGGCTCGCCATTGCCCACCGGCTGGCACATCGCCTCCCTAGTAAATCGACATTTCTAGTCGAGCGGCACTCGCGCGCAGGAGAAGAGACGAGGTATGTCTACCCACCCACTCCATCCGCCTCTCGTCTGACCGTTACCCAGTTCGCGCAACTCGGAAGTCATCCACGCCGGTACGTCTGCCTCCTAATGAACAGCCTACAACCAAGGCCTGATATGCCCCATCCGCGCAAGGCCTGTACTACCCCCCAGACTCCCTCAAGACCCGCCTCTGCATCCGCGGGCGGCAGCTCATCTACGACCACTGCGCTACGCACAACATCCCTCACCGCAAGACCGGCAAGCTCGTCCTCGCGCACGCGCACCAGCGCGCGTACATAGAGAACCTGCACAACAAGGCCCTCAAGCTGCGCTGGCCACCACTCAGCCTGGACCCGGACGCCGATAGCACGCCCGTCCCGACCAGGTTGATCAGCGGGGACGAGGCGCGCGAGCTGGAGCCCGACTTGTCCAACGATATCGCGGCTGCCTTGTGGAGCCCCGAAACGGGCATCCTCGACTCGCACTCCTTCATGGAGAGCCTCGAGAAGGACATCAGCGAGTCCGACAGCGCAGAGATCGTCTACTCCACAAAGGTCGTCCGCGTCGACCCCTCAGAGTCCGACGGCGGATGGGTAGTGCAAACCGTGACCGGCGAGGGCGACTCGGACGCGAGCGACTGCCTGCTCGCGAAGACGCTCATCAACGCCTCCGGCCTCGCGGGCCCGTTCATCCTCAACGCGCTGCTCCCCCGCGAGCGCCGCATCCCGATGTACTACGGCCGCGGCTCGTACGCGTCTTACAAGGGCCCCGGCGTGTCGAGCGTGCAGCACCTGCTCTACCCCTGTCCGGACACGGCGAAGACGAGCAGCAACGCCGCGAATTTCCAGTCGCTGGGCACGCACCTCACGCTGGACATGGATGGTAAAATACGGTTTGGCCCTGACCTTGACTGGATATCGCCCCCGACGGGGGAGGGCGAGTTCTGCTACGACGAGGATCAGATTGATTTCTGGCAGAAGCACCTGGTGCCCAGCGAGGACCGGATGAAGGAGATGCACGAGGCAGTTATGAGTTACCTGCCGGGAGTTACATTCGAGGGACTCGCCCCGGATTACTGTGGAGTCCGGCCCAAGTTGGTGGGTCCGGGAGGAGGCTTCCGAGACTTTGTCTTCCGGGTCGATCATCCAGATTCATTCTTGAAATCTGGCTCTGCTCGGCCGAGCAGAAAGAACCCGATGGTCAGCTTACTCGGTATTGAGAGTCCCGGCGTAACGTCCAGCATGGCCATCGCAGAGTATGTGGTAGATGACATCCTAGGCGGACACGAACAGGGTGACCGGTCATGACGACCATGTTCTACAGTCGACTCTGTCTTAACCCATAACGGGTCGTGGAACCCAAAAGTTATGGGTTTCTGCAGACTATGGGTTACCAGAACGTGTGACATTGTGTGACTACCTAGTACGCGTGACAGACAGCCTATCCGGTATAGGCCGGACGTCGTTTATGACACCGTTTAGATACGGAATCTTGAGTCTGGTATGGGTTATCTTCTGAAATACCACGAGAACCAAAGATTAAGGGTCCAGATGGTCCAGATTCTCGTGAGAAGGAGACCTGTACCTTCCTAATATAGGTTGTTTTATGGGTTATGACCCTTCAAAAAGCTATGGGTTATGGGATACGGCAGACTTATGGGTTTTTACTATCTACCATGTTGGTGGAAGCCAAAAACCTATGGGTTATTACAGGTTATGGGTTATGACAGGTATGGGTTAAGACAGAGTCGACTGTACACACAAACGGAATCATGCAATCTAATGAAAGTGATAAACATTATCATGTAGAGTTCCGCGGAGCAACCTTCGGAGCCCAAGGGTTGATCTTGGCAGCAGCAGTGTTGTACGGCTTGTAAGCACCCCGTGTACCAGTCAAGTTCTCTACCCACGGCTGAAGATTCATGACACGTAGTCATTAGCTGCGCGCTGTAGCAGAGAGGGATGTACGTACGCCCTTCCAAGGCGGTGAGAGGTTCTGCATCACGGTATCCTGGGGAGGCGGCTGGTGGCGGATGTGGTGCAGCCACGAGTGCCATTCGGCAGGGACTTGGGTAGCATTGAAGTCGTGCTAGAAGGAGGGGATTGAAATGAGCATGGACCGGTCGAAACCGGGCACAGCTAGATGTGGGCGTACCTGGGCAAAGTCAACCCATCGGTGTCGACCTGACATCGACGGAAATTCAGCAAACCGTAGCAGTACAATGCCTTCGGCACTCACCTGGCAACTCATCCTCGGGATTCAAGTTCTCGTAGTACTTGTTCCCGAACCTGCGGGGGAAGAAGTTCGGTCATACATGCCAAAGCACCGAATCTATAGAGTGATACACACTGGTCCTGGCCCACACACTGCCCGTATTTGGCGTCGCCGATGTACATCATGTCCCGCATCCATTTCTTGACGCCCGACCGCCGTATGTTGCGGATATACCGCCCTATCGAGACCATGGTGAATGATGAAGAGAGTCACTGTCAGGGAGCCAGTGACGCCCGGCATTCCGACTCAACCACGTGCACTGGTACCAAACGCGTGCTCTCGATCGCGATCCTCTCAACCAATCCCAACGAAAGAGTCTGATACCTTCGTGCTCTCCTCTCCAGTGTGTTGCTTCCAACTGTGAGATCCCCAAAGAAAAAGGCAGCAGAGCCTATGCATTTTGATCATCGCATACTACTGTACTAGTACACGATCACAGCATGAGACATGACGAAGACAACAGAAGCAATACATCTAGTAGAAGTAGCCCAAGATCTTGCCACCGACGTTCTTGCGCCTGGCCTCCTCGTGGTCAAGGATACCAGAAGAAGTGGTCTGTTAACATGCGTTAGTGATGGGGCAGGATGCAAAAGCGACTTTAGACGCACCAAGACCATGATACCGAACCCACGGGCAGGGAGCAGCAAGTTGACCCATGACTCAATCTGGGTAACTTGGATGTTGAAGCGCGGTGAGATCACACCGCACTTGTTCAGCCGGCCATTCAGCTGGACAACGATCTTGCCCGAACGGTGGTCATCGATGATCTCGAATTCACCGATGTAGCCTGTCGTCAGGAAACACGTTCAGTAACGGATTTCCACAGACGAAGTGAAGCGGGGAGGGATGGCATGTAGTCTCCGGAGTGAACACAAATCCCCAGTTTATTAACGGAAGTGCGCTTCGTGTGTTATGAAGACTGTCAATATCTCGGAGCGTTAAAACGAAGGACGGGTGGAAGCGAGACCTCGTCAATCGTAGTTATCACTCCGAACGGGGGGAGGGAGGGGCAATGCAATTCCATGAGGTACAGTACTCACCATGGCGCTGCATGACACTCAAGAACTTGACAACGACCTTCGAGGAAGGACGAATCAGCACCTGGCGCTTGCCCCGTCGCTCAGCGTTCACAATGTTGTTCTATATTAGATATATTATGAGACCCTGGTCGGTGCCACCTGCGCATTCGAGCCTACTCACAAGGCAGTCATTCTAACATAGAAGTCAGCCAGGTCTCGAAAATCCCGAAACTGAATACACTCACAAGGACAGATACGCGGACCATCTTGTTTTACAGGGAAGGGAGAGATCGAGGGAGGGAGCTGGCAAACACAGAAGCAAGTAAGCACCTAAGCCAATCCGAGTGTCGCGCTATGGAAAGCGCGAGTCAAGATGGCTATGCGACCATGGCGGGTAAACACGACGTTTTCCGCTGGCCGTTTCGCAGACAAGAACGCGCATTCACCTGATGAAACCTTGATGGGAGTCTTGAGGGCGACGGCGGCAACAACGGCGGGCAGGCGTCGCTCGACGAACAATATACTGATGGCCCAATTCGGGAGGAACTGTACAGTATGAACCAGCCACGCCGGGACTTGCCGGATTTCAGCGAGTGTAGGCTTGTGTATAGCAAGGGAAGGCGCCGTATAGAACGTCAAGCTCACCGTTTCCCTCGACGTATCCGACTTCATCAACATGGTGAGCTGCTTTCGTTGCTGGTAGTTGGAGCCCTGGATCTAACGTTGTCGACCTAGGGCCGCGTCCGCACCAAGACCACCAAGAGGGCTTCTCGCGTTCTCATCGAGAAATAGTGAGTGTTCGACGTCTTCCATGGTTAGAGGATGGTCGGGTTGGAGAACGGGGCTATGTTAGGATGAGGATTGGGATTGGAGAGTAAATGGATGCTGACTTGCTGTCACCAGTTACCCCCGCCTTACCCTCGACTTCCACACCAACAAGCGGATCATCGATGAAGTCGTGCGTACTAGCCAACTCGCGATAACCATGGTTGAGACTGACAATATCGTGCTTTACGCAGGCCGAGGTCCCCTCAAAACGCCTCCGCAATAAGATTGCGGGCTTTACGACCCACTTGATGAAGCGTATCCAGCGCGGCCCCGTCCGCGGTATCTCCTTCAAGCTCCAGGAAGAGGAGCGTGAGCGCAAGGACCAATACGTTCCCGAAGTGTCTGCCCTCGACACCCAGGGTGCACCCTTGGAGGTCGACAGCGACACCAAGGTATGTTCACCTCTATCAATTCCTGTCGTCATATGATCGACCACTCTTGATTTTCAGGATCTCCTGCACGCCCTCAACTTCGACTCCATCCAAACTACTGTTGTCAACGTCCCCCTTGGTACCGCCCCCGAGCGTGCGCCCCGGCAGAGACGTGCCGTCCCTGGTGCTGGTCGGGCTTGAGTTGGTCGGGATTGATGTGTGGTGTCAGTATGTCGTATGGTCATGCTATGATTGCTCTACCGCTTGTAAAACACTTAGGATTCATATAATCCTATATGCATACAGCCCGCTGGGATGCCATGGGCGGCAGGTCGTCCTTGAGACATCGACTGCCCACATGATGCCTTGCAGTCACGGCGGCTGTTGACGTTCCATGAGATCTCCCTGTGATCTGAATTGCGACCTCATGGTTGAGACCAGATACGTTCGTTGAATAAAGTTAAGGGACAGGGAGAAGCTGGAACAGATGTATGTGAAAAATTTAGTGAACTAGTACGAAGGTGGACGCTACTACTACATGGATTATGAGGACAAATCAACGTCGAACACAGGTGACACAAGAGACAAAGCGAGATCAGAGGGAAGGCGAGAAGAGAATAACGAACAGAGGGAAATGGAGATAATAAGATAATGAACCCAAAGATACCTGATACATCACCCGTAATGTCCGGTAATACAACACGTCTTTCTGACCCAACCCCCGGTCTTCATTCAGCATATAGAACATATTTGTCCGCGGTTTCAATCCATTCTCTCAGATCTTCATCGTGTTCCAGCTCCACGAAGGCATTATTCATGCTATCCCGGTACTTCAGCGCCGCGATGTTGCCGCCCAATCTTCCTTGGACCTTCTCAATGAGTTGCGAGTACGATACCTTGGGGTGCACACGGATAGCAATAAGGTCGTCCGCGGTCCTGTCGAAGATCTTGATCTTGACGAACGCAGGCTGCTGGTTGGACGCAGATATTGGAGGCGTGTTCGCAATCGACCGTGACCTTGCCGACGTGGGAGATGTCGCAGAAGATGCAGCAGAATTGGCGGCAGACATGTGCGAGGTCTGGGAGTAGCCGCTACTGCGGGTCGACTCCGATTCTCGCGGCGATAGGACCTGGTTTCGCAAAGAGTAGGTATCCTTCTGACTTGGAGGGTAGACAGGCGAGTTCGACCGGGAATGGTAGGCCGAGTCGCCTGGTGATTGTGTTCGGTGAATCGAAAGAGAAGATGTCGACCCAGACCGTGCATGGAGGTCTTGGCCCAAAGATGGCTTGTACCCATGGTGCATCTGGGCCCCATTACCATTTGTCGCCGAGTTGTGGTACTTGTAGGTTTGGTCGCGGTCATGCGCCTGTCCGGGCACCCGAGTATCGTCTTCATAGATCGACCCTTCGCTGCCTTCGTCTTCCTCCTGAATCCTCGTCCGGCTCAACCCATGATTCAACTCATCCTCGTAGCTCGAATCATCTGCCAGAGGATCGATGTTATCCTGATCATGAGCATCTCCGTTCCGCTCCATGTATTCGTACACATCCCGCATGGCCCTAATCTGTTCGACCTGCGGTTCGATGTCGGTCTCGACGTCTCCTGGCTTCACGGACAGAAACTCCCGCAGCACTCGATGTCGCAGGATATATTGCGCATTAGTTTGCAGGAGATCACACAGATGATGGAGGTATGCATCAAGTTCTGCCCTGCGCTGTGCCGTCACAACGGCGTCTACGTCCTCCACTGGACCAGGCATAAACGGCAGTATGCGTTTGTGCGGCGGCTCGCGACCGGCTTCGCGAGGGAACATCTCCAGTAGCTTGACTTGGAAGTCGAAGAAGTCATTGTATGACCGGAATAGCACCAACTGCTTTCCGGCCGGAAGTACGTCGGAATTGGGAGGTTCGAATGGCTGATAGATGGCGTTGATACGGAACCAGTACTCCTCCATTTCGTGGTGGAAGGAAGTAACGTCCGCTGCAAGCAAAACGCCTTCCGGGAGAAGCAACGGAGAAACTGGTCGCGAAGGACCTGCTTGGGAGCCATCGGCGGCGTCATAGCCATTCGACGGCGGCGGGGGTGCTAATTTTTCGACAGGCGCCGGCATTTCGGGGGTGGGTGGATACTGGGGCATGAATGGGCTATTGGGAACCGGCCCTCGCGAGGACACATCGTCGATAACACCAAGAGAGATGCTATTGGCTTTGTAGGTGAGCATCTGGCGTTTCCACTCCTCCACCCGAGGCAGTTCGCCGCGATCAATGATAGCATCGATGTCTGGGATGGGCTGGTTGGTGGCTGGATCCCGTACTTCGACGAAGGATACGGGGATCAGGCCCGGTCTGCCCAAACGTCCGATCGGTTTCGCCACAAACCATTCTCGGTTGGATTGGGCTACGACAGAGATGGGGTCCCCTGCCTTGGCGTCCAGTTCATCCGCTCTCTCGGCGGTGAAGTCGTGCATTACGACGGCATAGAATACTTGCGGCTTCGGGGACTTTGGCCCTCCACCAGGCGTTTTCGGACCATTAGGGGATAGCCGTCCATTCTGCATCGGAGGTGGCGGCGATATGTGTAACCTATACGGTGGTTGTTGCATGGATCAGCGATGCGTATACGTATGAACCCAGGAGGCTCACTTTGAACTGTTCTTCTGCAATTCTTCGAACAGAGCTTTGGGGACCAGCCCTCGAGCACCCGAGACGGGATTGTGGGCTTCATAGTAGGCACCTGGACTATCCGCACCTGTGAATATGTAGAAGAAGTCGCCCTTCTGGAACGAAAGCTCCTGGGGTGCTTGAGACTTGTAGGAAGATGTAGCGCGAATGACCTTCTGCGGAGGCTGTAGGGCAGGGGATGGTTTAGAGATGCGCGGCAGGGGCCCCGAGATTGACTGGTCTTTGTTCCCCTTGAGGGAGTTGCGCAAGGCCTTCATCGTCGGCGCTGGCGGCGACGGTGGTCGTGAGTCGTCGTTGGGAGGAAGAGAAGGTCGTGAACGATAGCAGCGATGGTGGAAGCCTCAGCCAAGGGCTTAGAATGAGCTGGTTCGGGCATATAATGGCTTCCCTTTACTGGCTCGAACCGAGTCGCCGGGCGGCACGAGATCCAAACACAGATCCTGTCTCATTGTTGTGGCTCTGTCACACGCCTGTGACAGCTTTGTTTATTGTTTCTGGCTGTACTGCCCGCCGTCGCCTGCAGCGTGTACGACTGCATTACTGCAGTTGATTGTCTGGAAAGGCTCTGCCTACGTTCCGTTTGTCGACCAGGAAATCCCTGCTCAGAGCTCGGAGCTCGGGACTTAGCCGTATTCCACCTTCGCGGTACCTCTGTCGCTAACGCCTTCTGATCAGTGATTGGCAGTCGACTCTCGAAGGCAGCGCATGGCACATGCCTTGCCATACGCCAGACCTCCCCGGACGTATCGTTGGTACGCGTCGCATCATCCTCCAGTGCATCGGGCGTTCGGGTGTCGCAAGTGCGCCGCTAGTCCTTATGTAGTTGTGGGCGCCCGGCATGTCATGGTGCTCAGACTTGGTACGATTGCTACTTGGTCTACACTTTCGGGCTGAATTAGGCGTCTTTACCCTGTGTCGATCGCCTTCTCTTCAATGCCTATGTCAAGCCTGAGATGGCGCCTGAGTCGATCCAGGTACAGTCTGATTGTCAGTCCTGTCTAAGGCCGTCGGTCTCCGTGTTGCCCATATATCTCGCTGCCCGTTCCCAGTTGGCTGAACAGCCTTTGAGCTCTTCCATGGTGATCTTGCCTTCTGCAAGCTATCTATATACCTCGACCATCTTCTAGCTCAGTTTGCGTTTTTCTCATGCGAAATCCCTGTGACTTTCATGAGAGCGTATCGCCTGCAATCCATGAACATGCATCAGGCGGAGGATGTGTGCTTGCGACTGTGGGGAGTGGAAGACGAGAAGTCAAGGTGACGTAGGTCCGGATGCATTTCGTGTTGTGTATTTCACTTCAAGCTGCGCTCGCTGCTGCCACGCGTCTGGCTATATTTCTGTCTCAATTGCCACGGCGGAAGTGAGACGGGGAACTATGTGTGCTCCCTGACTCGCCTAAGTTCGGGTTCATTGAGCCTGAAACAGTGAAACAGTGCTCGTTATGGGGCTGAAGATCGTCCGGGTGAGGCATCGAGAGACGCTGCATGCTTCGTCTACGTCTCTAACGTTTAATCGCGTATCTTCTGTCCTAAGCCTACTATATCAGTCCCTCATAAGTATAGACTACTCCTTACGATCCCACTATGACTGTCCACATCTATTGACAGAATCAGCCACTCGCCCCGTTGTGGCGGTCTGCCTGGTGGACCGTGACGTGTGACTAGCCACGTGCGGTTGTCATTATGTAATGGTCCGACAACCAAACACGACCAATTTACCGCCACTTCGGACCCCGGACCAAGTGCTGCTTTGAGACGGCTTCATCGTAACATATTCGACTTACTGTAGCCAAGCTGGCCTCACATCATGGCAGCGCGCAAGCTACAAAGTACGTCGATATTCTACCTTCCTGACGTGTCTTTCGTTGACTCAAGTGTATGCGTCGCGTCTCTGCAGCGGAAATCGACCGTACACTAAAGAAGGTCGCGGAGGGCGTCGAGCTCTTCGAGAGCATCTACGAAAAGATGCAGAACTCGACCAACCAGACACAGAAGGAGAAACTGGAGATGGACTTGAAGACTCAGATTAAACGATTGCAACGGCTACGTGACCAGATCAAGACGTGGGCAGCAAGCAATGACATCAAGGACAAGTCGGCGCTGCTCGAGAATAGGAGGTTAATCGAGACAGTGAGTACATTCTGTGTATCTCTGGCAGCTTGCGCAGTCGTGCTGCGTCTGGCGAGCGCTACTCCGGAATGCTGATGGCCTTGTTTCTCTATCTAATCAACGTTTCCTGCCTGTCCTCGTGCGGGCGTCTGAACCACATAGCAAATGGAGAAGTTTAAGGCATGCGAAAAGGAGATGAAAACAAAAGCGTTCTCCAAAGAGGGTCTTATTCAATCTGCTAAGCTCGATCCCAAGGCTCAGGAGAAGCTTGACACGGCTTCGTGGGTACGGGAGCAGGTGGAAGCGCTGCAACAACAAGTGGAGCATACGGAGGCGGAGATCGAGGCCGCACAGATGGCTGGTGGGAAGAAGAAGGGTAAGTCTGGAGGGCAGACGGCGGAGCGGGTGGAGGAGATGGAGAAGCTGAATGAGCGCCGGAGGTGGCATACAAGCCGGCTGGAGATCATCCTGCGGTTATTGGACAACGGGAGCTTGCCGGTGGAGAAAATAACGGCACTGAAGGATGATGTGCAATACTTCGTCGAGAGTAATGCGGTGCGTCTGGTTGCCAGGAGCCGTTACTACTAATTCTTAAGCTTGTGCGTTCAGGAGGAAGATTTTGAAGAGGATGAGGGAATCTACGACGACCTAAATCTCGACGAAGAGGAAGAGAAGTTTGGTATCGCTGCGGACGAGTCCTCGAGTGACGAATCCGAAGAGGCCAGCGAAGGTGAACCGCCACTTACTTCCCTTCGCAGCTCTGTCTCAAATGGTGCAGACTTACCACCACGAACACCAAATAAGAAACAACAGCACGAGGACGACAGCTCGAGTAAACGTGATGGCAGCCCGGTACTCAAGAAGGGCAACAACGTCACATTACAACTACGGAGTAAGCATGCAGTTATTCTGTTCCACTCTTGTCAGGTCTGACGAGTTCGATTCAGAGCCATCATCAGCAGCAGATTGTATGTATTACGTCTAGCTCCTATGACGCACGCAAATATGTCTAACATGCTACGCAGCGGCACCGAAACCTCCGCCAAATCCAAATTTTGCACAACAGCCAATGTCGAGCATCCTCAAGGCTGGGCTACCTCCAGCACCTCGACAACCCGCACAGCTACCCCCAATACGTTATGCGGCGGCGGCAGCAGCAGCAGTAAATCCACCATCGTCTACAAGTGCAACCCCATCGGTTTCCTCACCATCCCAGGCCCCCGCGTCCACAAATGCCACTACTCCTCCCTCGTCGTCAGCACTGTCACCACCACAACCGACGGCATCACAGGATCATGCGGCCACGTCGTCACCGAGCTTGACGCATCCTTCTGTGACGAGTCCAATGCTCAGCTCTGCTTCTGTTTCTGCGCTGCAGCAGGACGGGTCGTCGTATTACTCGCACCACGATTCGCCAGCATTGTCAGAAGCCGTGTCTGGATCGCTGGCGCCGACGTCATCGTCGCCACAAAGATCGGCATCCCGAAGTGGTAAGTCCGTGTACATCATCCGGTTAGCAAGACTGACTGTAAAAAAGTGTCGATATCTTCGCCAATTGTCGACTCTGCATCACCAGCACAGCCGGTACGCCCCGTTTACGTGCACTGACGCGCAGCATTCTCACGCGTAATACAGCAGGCGGCGTCCAACGACTCGCAAAAACCACCCGCAGCCGCCGAGCAGCCGCCAGCACCCTCGCCGCCCGCGCCAGCACCCGCGCCCTCGCAGCAGCAGCAGCAGCAGGCGCTCCCCGTCCCGATTGGCGCGCCGACGGCGCCGTCGCCGCTGCCGCAGCAGGTGCAGCAGTACCCGCAGTACCCGCCGGGGGTGAAGGTGCCGGAGCAGCAGCAGATGCCGATGCAGGCGGTGGGCGCGCAGCGGCCGCCGTCGACGCAGCAGCGCGGGTCGGTGCCGCCGCAGATGCAGCAGGCGCGCACGGCGTTCCCGGGCTCGCTGAGCGATCTGGTGGTGTCGTTTGAGAATGTGAAGCAGAAGGGTGAGCGCGGGTTCTTTGTGCTGGTGGCGGTGCGCTGATGCTGGGGTGCTTTGTTTTTGGCGTCTTTGTTTTGGGTCGGTTGGGTATATGAAGCGGTGCACCGGATGGGGAACCTTGACCAGGTGAATAAGCTGCTCGAGGGGAGTTATTCGAGTATGCCGCAGCCGCAGGATACGGAGAAGTACGTGCTTGTGGCATATCTGTGTGTGTGTGGCTCTTGTGCTGACGTTGGTGTGGCAGGCCGAAGTACTACGTCCCGCGGAACTACTTCCCGACGCCGAGCTACTACCCGCAGCAGCCGAGCCCGATCCTGAGCACGGCGGGCCTGTTCGCGCAGCTGGACGTGGAGACGCTGTTCTACGTGTTCTACTACCACCCGGGGACGTACCTGCAGTGAGTGTCTCTCTCTCTCCGCGCCACCCCATTGTCGTTTGATTGACACTACCGTGCACTCGCAGGTACCTGGCGGCGAAGGAGCTGAAGCGGCAGTCGTGGCGGTTCCACGTGAAGTACCTGACGTGGTTCCAGCGGCACTCGGAGCCGCAGGCGATCACGGAGGAGTACGAGCAGGGGGTGTATGTGTACTTTGACTGGGAGGGGAGCTGGTGTCAGCGGAAGAAGAGCGATTTTAGGTTCGAGTATCGGTATTTGAGCGAGGATTGAGGTGCGGGAGTGCGTTGGTTCACGCGTATTTAATAGTTCATGGACGTTTGGTCTCGTAGTCACACACATACTCTCGTTCGGTACTCGGTTTTCACGCGCGTAGTCCAGACATGCATACTTAATGATATTAGTGAGAATGTCTGAGTATGTGTATGTGTAGTGAGTGAGGAGAGCAAGGGGAAGCGTCTACTCGAGCTTGACGACGCCGCCGAGGGACTCGAAGGTGGCCTTGAGCTTGTCGGCGTCCTCCTTGGGGACGTTCTCCTTGATGACCTTCGGGAGGGACTCGACGAACTTCTTCGCCTGCACGCAGCGTCAACGCCGGCCGACGGCGAGCACGGGAACACACGCACCTCGATGAGCGTGAGGTTGGGGATCATGGCCTTGATCTCCTTGATGACCTTTGCCTTGGCGGCGGCGTCGATGCTCTCGAGCTTGACGGAGAAGATGGTCTTTTCTTTGGGCTTTTCTTCCTCGGCGGGGGCGTCCTCGGCTGCGGCTGCGGCGGGCGCGGCGGAGGGGGCGGCGGCGGGCATGGCGATTTCTTGGATGTTCAGGCGGGTCTGGGGGTGGGTTCACAGGTTAGGGAATGGTGAGGGGAATGGGAGGGGGAAAGGAAGGAACGCGCCTTGAGGAGCGTAACGAGGTCGGCGGCCTGCAGGAGCGTGAGGGAGGAGATGTCGTTCACGATCTGGTCGAGCTTCGGGTTAGAGGGCGGCGGCGGGGGTGCGGGGGAGGCGGCGGCGGCGGCTTCGGGCGCGGCGGCGGCCATGCGGGTTGAGGAGGATGAGAGGGCTCTTGTCCATCCTGCCGGTGAGCTGCAGAAGGGCTGGGCGGTCAGTGGCAGTACGGGACGGTAAGGGGGATAGCTGGCGTACCGGAGGACGGGACGTGCGCGTGAAAGGGAGGCGAGGGTCCGGCAGCAGCGAGACTGCGATGCGAGACAGATCAGTCAACGTCCAGCGCACTGGCGACGAGAGCGCAGGTACTTACGGCCATTGTGCACGGTGGAACGGAAGACGGCCTGCTCAACTGAAAGCCAAACTTGAAAATGCAAGTGCGCCGCGTCCTAAAATAGCCGCGCCAGTAATGGCAATTCCCGACGCAACTGCATCCTGGCCGTGCCATTGCTTTCGCTCTGAAACTGCCTGGCAGGAAACCATGCTTGTAGCCAACTCAGGCACTATTTCGTTCTTTCATCCGCATCCTACGACTTGTCGGAGAAGAGCACAGAGATGACCATCCACCATCTGTTGCCGCCTCCTCTCGCAGTCAAAGGGTAACATTCTGAAGAAAAGCCTTCACTGTCTGCCAAGGGGATCGTATCTGGAATTTGTACAGGGCGTAATACCGTTGTCTCGATCCAGGCTACTCGCTGCCGCGCCCCGAGGGGAAGTCTCAAGATGCGGGTGGGTGGTGAGCATGTAAGGGCGTACGAAGGGTGAGGGCGGCGAGGCCGGACGATGAGGGAAAGGTAAAAGCAAAGGATGTGCCCGCGCCCGATGGGGCGGGTGGTGGGTGCGCGGCGGCGAGCCCGCGCGGAAGGGGGAGACGGTCGTTGTGTGCCTCGCTGGGGGGTGCGCTTCCGTCGGTCTTGACTTTCCTGCCGCGGCCTCGTAGATCGTACGTCCTGGTCCACCCACAATCGACCCCCTTTCCTTACGCCCTCTGCAAACGCACATATTGCGCGTCTTCTGTCTGCCCTTCCCCCTACCATCCATCCCCCCCCCCTCCCCCCGGGTGAGGTCGTTATGCGTTATGAGGGTAAGGTGATTACTGTGCCAGTCATTGTTATGGCGTTCTGCTTCGTGCGAGTTTCGTTGCAATGTTGATGTTGCTTCATACAGAACCGACGGTTCGTGCGCCCTGCGATGCGCCAACGGTTGGGAGCGCGAGCATGCGATGCCTTCTGTTACCCCGGGTTGCTGTGGTAGTGTGTTTTTGTCTTTCGTATGAATACCGCGTCGCAATGTCAATGATATTTTAAGCCCGGTGCACCTGCAAGGACAAGACTCGACGCAAAATCAATAAAAAGCAATTCAAGCTTGGAGAACGGTACGCCGGGTGGACCTTTCGCCGGTCATTAAGCGGGCTGGCAGGAGACTGTTATTCGCTGGATGTGAAGGTCACGCTTGAAGCAGGTGTCATCTATACGTTGCACATGGCTGAGTCATTTCCTTGGCGGGGACCAGGGCCCAAGGTAAGTGTCGTCGGTCATTAACTTCCAGGGCCCGGGAGGAGGTGCAGGCGCATGTAGGTGCGTATATTTAGCTTTTCATATAGATTATCGGCCGGACATCGAGTTGGGATACGGATGTACTTACTCCCTGTTCTCCTACTCCTCGGACTGGCGCACGCTCCATCGACGACAGTGCAGCACTATTCGCCATTTTCCAGCGCTCACTTCTGCACCGATCATCTGCAGTCACAGGCATATCTGTCTGCCTATCACTCTACAAGGGCCGCTCGTTTGCGGGCATGCAGGAACGGTATGGCTGCAGGAACCTTTGAGCAGTTGGGTGTGCGTACTGGGGATATGAAGGTAGGCTCAGCTTCAGCGCGGAGTGCTTGCGAGGAAGTACTGAATGGACTGCTGTATTCTCAGCCATGCAAGGCTGACATTGAATTATACAGCTGTACATCGGCACTGATGCAGAGCACGGCCCCCCGTCCGGCTGGAGAAATAACTGCCCTGTCTCGCGGGCGATGTTAGGATCGATTCCCCTTCACGATCGTACTCAAGGTCCACGCTCTCGATTCTCCAGAGCTGGGTGCGCTCTCCATCCTCATTCAGCGAAGTGCACCGCGTGTCAAGGTCCTGCCTGCGCCAGGCCTGCCGGCGTCTGCTGCAGACAGGACCTTAGCAGGCGATATAAAACACCCATTGCAACGTCGACGTACGCCAACTTGCTCGCCAACTCTTCTTTTCCTTACAACTTCTTGAGACGCCGACATGAATTTCCTCGCCTTTGCGTTCCTGCTCGCTCTTTCTCTGCTCGGTATGGTCTCGGCGGAGCAGCCTTGTACCACTGGATGCTTCGACCTGGTGTACCACACGGCAACGACCGTCTTTGCGTCGAAGACACCCTCTGGCACGGTGAGCCTGCGAGATATACGGAGCTGTAAGTAGGCAATTTTGCTCACAACCGCTCCTAGGAGGCACTGGTCAAACCTACGCACCTGCCGTCCGATGTCTCGTACGGCGAGATTACGGTAGCGGCCGATGGTCTCGAGGAGGGTCAGTGCAGTCATGCTTCATCCCGAGACTACATCTGATTTATCTCCAGTCCGATGGACGAAGCTCGCCACCTCTACCATGTTCATCCCGCGTCCCACTTCGACGGGGGACGCCGAGGCCGAAGCATGGCGTGTCGTCTACGGCACGACCTCCATGGAATGGGCGGGCTATGCCACGTCCATCATCGCCCCGACCCTGACCTCGATCGCTCCCCGCCCCACCGCGCTGCCTGCGCAAGCCGTCTCCGACATGCTCGTGTCCTGGACCGACGTATCCATCAAGGAGGCCGAGGCCGCCGTCACCGTCACGGAGGTGGACTATGCGTACGACACCGTCATGTGGGTGCGCCCCGACGCCGCCGCCTCGCGCGAGCGCGTCGAGGTCCTCGTCGACGGGATCGCGATGCCCCCGCGCATGGACCCCGTCTCCGAGATGGGCCGCTACTGCGACAGCGAGATCGACGACTGCTTCGCGGCTGGCGTGCTGCCTGGTTATTACATCGTGCCTTCTGGCCACCACGAGGTCGCGCTCCGCCGCGACGAGCAAAGTAAGCTGCTGTGTTCCTTCGGGGTGGGTATTTGGCTGACATGTGCACAGTCGTCGAAGAGTGGACCGGGTCGTACGCTATCGAGAGGCCTTCGGTATCATTGCTTTCGTCGTGCCCGCCATGCCCGACGGTTACGATGACCGTCACTCAATTTGTTCCCGGTGCGGCGACGCCCACCGCACAGGCGCCGCTACCTAACGTCCCCTTCTAAATCGGTGCCAAGGAGTGCGCTGGGAGATGATGCGGGAAGAGTAGGTCTGCATGTCTGCCCGTACCGACGCCGTTACTGAGCAGATCGATTTTGCAGAGGGGCTGTGGTTTATGATCTGCCATGATAATGCCTTCCATTAACCAGGCTGCGTCGCTGGTCGACTGCTGTCCTATTATTTATGTACTGTGTATAATCCCAGTATTAATAATGTTGGACTGCCCGGATTGTTATGAATGCTCCACGTTCTACTGGTGTCTTTGAATGGCCGGGTCGATTAATCAGAGCCTAGCATCCGTTTCATACGCTCCTACACTGTGCAGGCCCCGGGACGCAGAATCTGCCACAATCGCTCAGTTTGGTAACGTCTCTTGATGAATTTGGGTCAAGTCCACGGCATATTCCCGTATATCATGCACGCTGCTTTGCATTCCCTTTCTTTGCCCCCTGCGCCCTCCTGCAGCGCCCCACCGACGGTTGCCGGACGTCCTCATGTCTCTCCTCCCCTCTGACCCCGCCGCCGGACAAGTGGAAGAGGCTGCGTCCTCGGTCTGCACTCCTGAGCACTGCTACCATGCGTTCGATGCATTGTACTGCGCCCTGACGGGCAGCGACCCGATCCCTACCAAGTTTGCAGACGAGAAATAGTGAGCGGCATGATTTTTATTGCTCGATGTAATTATTCTTATCGTGGCCGTCAGCCCTCTCTTCGTTACTTGGAATACACGATCCTCTCGTCGGCACCCGAGACTAAGGGGCTGTATCGGCACTTTCGAGGCCCAACCCCTCAGCGAAGGTCTGGCTGAATACGCCCTCATCAGCGCCTTCAGGGACCATCGATTCAGGAAGATCGAAGAGAAGGAGCTTTCCAGCCTGGAGTGCAAGATCTCCTTGCTCACGGACTTCGAGGATGCATCTTCCTACCTGGACTGGACCATAGGCGTCCATGGCATCAGCATCTCTTTTCCTCATCCTTCTCTGATCCCTTCGTCCACGCCGTCCACGGAGCCCGGCTCTCCGTTCTCCAGTACGCCATCTCTTCCTCGCTTCACATCCAAGCAGTCCTTCTCTGCTACATACCTCCCCGAAGTCATGCCTGAGCAGGGATGGGATAAGATCGAGGCTATAGACAGCGCTATCCATAAAGCAGGGTGGACTGGCCGTATCACAGAGGATCTCCGTCGTAGCATCAGACTCAGGAGATACCAGAGCAGCAAATGCACTGTAGGATGGGACGATTACGTAGAATGGCGGCAACGGAATGGCGGTGACATTTGAGCAGTCTGCTCAGTAGAGCCTCCACCTTCTTGCCAATGTACCAATCGGGTTATAGACGGCTGTACAATATACGGACTTTTCACGCCAGAGTTTGATTATACTTTCTACAATGTATTCCGGATTAGATCTAGCAAAGCCTTTTGACTATGACGCTCATTGCTGTGCGATATAATAGCCTCGAATCGCCTGATACGCTCACTCCAGTGGCCAGGGTATCTCCCCTGAAGACGAGACCACACGTCCCTAAGTCTAACGACGTCTGCGTCGCTCGTCTTGATAAATGCCACGATAATCCACCACACCATCCGGTCGCTGGGGTGAACATCGCCGGGCAGGTCCAAGAAGTTCCGGAAAACGAGGTCCAGATTTTCCGGGCTCCACGCGAAACCGGAGGGAGAATCGGACTCGAAGGGGTCGCCCGGCTCCTGCTGCGAAATAACGGGGATCAAGCCAGTCGAGGCCACAGAAGGTCGGCCGTACCGCGCAAACCCGTAGAAAATCGCTCGGTAGGCGGCAAGAGTGGGCGTAAAGGTCGGAGGATCAGTGTCCGAGCGTCGCGACCCGTCAAGGGGGCTAGAGAGCATGTCCACAAAGACTTGAAGGGACCTTATGACATCCCCTCGATAGGCAAAGGCTTGGATTAGGGTGTGGTACGTGACATGGTCCGGTACCATGTCATCGGGTATGGCCAAGCCATCGCCAGCGAAGTTCTCCTTCACCGCCATGATTTCTTCATCGTCAAAACCTTCAGAGCCGGACCCTTCCTTAGGCTGTAGATGATACCGGAGGACACGGTAGACATTCCACGCAAGCTCCAGACGACCATTGCGAGCAAAAGCCCAGATGAATGCGTTCACAGCTGCTATATCCAGGGGAATGTCTTGCTCCTTCATGTGCGACATGGTCTGCCGGATGGCCACACTGTCATTCTTGTGAGTGAAGTAGCGGAGCAGGACAAGGTGGGTGATGCGGTTCGGAGGGATCTTGCTAGCTCGGAAAAGTGACAGCGCGTGACGGACGGCATTCGAATCCAACGTTCGGCCTGCGATGTTGAGGAGCGTGGTGTATGTATATACATCAGGTGCCAAGCCTTTCCCCTTGGATGACTCTAAGGCCCCGTTGTCATCACCACGTCCCGACGCCCCTGGAGCGCGCTGCGACGCCAGAATGTCATTCAGAACAGCAAGAGACCGTTGATAGTCCGCAAACTGCGTCTTCCGAGACCCTTTTCCCGCGCAGTCCATCAGCGCGTTCCACTCCCAGAGATGGACGGTTCCGCCTGTCTTCCTGAGAGTGTTTATGACAGAGTACAGCTGCAAGAACTCGTTCCGGGTGCGCGGCTTGACGGATGTGATGAGGCGCGCCAGGCGGTGCAGGTGCGCGAAAGGAATCTGCGGCTCTTCGCCGGGTGCGAGCTCGAGCATGGATAGCGTGCGGTAGTTGCTGTAGGCCGCCCAAGCTTCGGCGACGGAGTTGGTCCTGGCGAGAGTGTCCAGGTGTTTGTCCCGTAGCGCGTCTGCGCGGTGGCGGACACGCCGTGGTCGAGGACTCTGGATCGGAACGCTGGTCCTGTCCCAGAAATCGAGCGCGTTCTCGGCATGGTGGGTGAGACCCTTGCGCTTCGACGCGACACGGGCGTCGTTCATGTCGCTTTCTTTGAAAGCTTCGTCTAAATTGAGTACAACCCTGTCCGAGACAGCACTGGAGCCATGCGTCGAAGGGTCGGTCCCATCTGGAATCGCAGAAGCCCTGGGTGAATGGGGAGGCGATACCGCTTGGGTGTCGTCTCGTCCGTTTTCGCCTCCGCTTCTGCGTACTGCAACCTTCCCTTCTATATCTCGTCTGTCCAAGTGCGGAGGAAGTTCCAATCGCGGACGGTTCTGGACAGCACACGCATCCGCTGCCCCGCGACGAACCGCCAGGCTTGTCCAGGTCTGCGTCTGTGCACCACATAAGCAGTCCCGACGTTCGAGAGAGCGACATCGCGAGAACGGGAGTCGGAGGCCCAGCGAGGACGCTCTCAGCATCAATGGCACGTGCAGTCATCCTGGAAGAAACCCAGGCGTGAGCGGGCCTGGGCAGCAATTTACGCAAAGCATGCTGGGACGTACCGCGACACGCACTGCAACCTCACGCGAAAGCGGTACACTCCAGCGTGTCGACCTCCAGCCGGACTCGAGCGCAGACGTTGCGGCCAACAGCGCTCGGGCGTTTACCAAAATTTCGGCAAGTACGGGAACTCTCACGGCCATACGGCATCTTCGACGTACCGCGTCCAATGGGCACGGAGGGCGGTCGTTCACAATATGAGCGAAGTAAAGCCTCGAATTGCATATGGGTACTAGCAACCAAAGGTCTCATTGGCAGTACGTAGGCATAGCATGGGCAATACAACAGTAGACGCATAGGACGTAAAGAGGGAACACAAAGTACTTTTAAGCCCGAGGCTTGAGAGTACCCAAGAACGCCGCCTTCTCCTCGAACGTCTGGAAAGCACCGTGCTGCGGAAAAATGACACGTGAGTCCGATAAGTAACATGCAGAACACAGTATCACTTACACCGAACTTGGACGAGGTATCGATGAACTTGAGGGAGACCTTCTCGAGATCCCGGCGAGACGTGTGGACCATGAGCGACTTGCGGATGGTGATGACACGCTTCTTAGTACCCGGGATGGAGCCCTTGACCATGAGGAAGTCGTTCTTCACGATACCGTAGTGGGGGAAGCCACCCATAGGCGTAATGGCCTTCTTCGTGACGTCGTGCTCGGTGGAGGCGTTGCCCTCATCGGTACCAGACCCAATGCGGTAGATCTTCTTGTTGAGCTCCGTACGGTGGTGGTAACCGTCTAAGTACTATGGTAAGGCTCATTTCAAGTATGAAGGGCGGGGTTCAACTCACTTTGACCGGCACGGGCAACAGAGTACATGACCTTCGAAGGATGCCATGCACCGATACAAGCGACCTTGCGGAGACCCTTGTGCGTCTTGCGAGGCAGCTTCTTGGTACCCCAACGGTGCGTCACACCCTCGAAACCGTGACCCTTGGTGACGGCAATAACATCGACACACTCGTCCTGCTCGAAGACGCTGCCGACCTCGATCGGCTTCTCGAACAGACCGTGCGCAAACTCGACCTTGTCCGCAACAGACCCGCCATTGACCTGGATCTCCATGAGGTGCGCCTTCTTCTGCCCGAGACCCGTCTTGCGGATCTGGGTGTGCGCGAGGACGCGGACGACCGTGCAGTACTTGCGGATGCGCTCAAGCTCGCGTGCGACGGACTTGCCGCCGTCCTCGGCGGCCTTCTTGGCGTAGCGCGTGAAGGCCTTCTTCTTCGAACGGTACCAGTTCTTGTAGAACCGGCGCTTGACTTCGTCGGAAAGGTGGGAAGCCCAGACGGTGGTGAGGGTGCGGAGGCCGCGGGGAGTCTCGACGTAACCGACGACACCGACGACGACCATGGGGGGAGTCTCAATGATGGTAACGGCCTCAACAATTTCACGCTTGTGCATCTCTGAACACGAGCAATTCGTGGGTCAGAGTCGATTGCATGAGATGGGTAGTCAAACACGTACTGGAGCCAGGACGGTCGAGGTCACGAACGACGTGGGTCATACCCGCCTTGTAACCCATAACAGCAGTCAAGTGGACGGGCTTCTTGGGGTCGTCCTGATCGCAATTGTTCAGTCCTGCGTCGATCCCACCAGCTGCTGCAGACGTACCTTGGGGAACGCCTTAACCTTCCCGCGGTGACGCGCCGCACGCTTGCGGGGAAGGAAACCGAGCGAGCCGTGGCGAGGAGCTTCGTACTGTGAACCATAGCGCACTCAATATCCCGACATTTTGCGAGCATCTATCTCAGCAACGAACCTTACGGTGACTAGCAATATGTCAGCCCATAGCTTTATGACGCGGACAAAGACGTACTCACCTCATTTTGAATGATCTTGAGGGGGGCGGCGGCGGGGACTGGGTGCTGGGTGCTGGGCGTTGGCGCGCGCGACGACCAAATTACAGAGCCGGTGGCTGTGGTACTGTACAGTCTTTCTCACGAGTAGTTTAGCGAGACCGGGATTATCGCCGTAAATCGCCGGGTGCACAGCATTTCTCACGGACGCGCATTTGGATGTGGCTGATGTAATCATGCAATGTCAGCAACGCGTCTAGCTGTCGACGCGAGCGACGTCGATGAAGGGAAGAGCGTCGCGACGCGCTGAGTCTCATAGAACACTGCAATTCATTGAGGACGCGTCTGGTGTGTATAAGCGGAGGTTTCCGCAGCAGTTGACCGTGTAAAACGACTCTGTCGTGATCGTTCACGACGGAAAGTCTGTGGTAATGCCTGAGCTGAGATCACCGTTCTAATCAGCACCATAATGAGCGCAGCACGACGCGACACGAGAACCTTTATCGCAAAGTGCAAAGACGCGCTCAGTCGCGTCCTTTCACGTGTGATTACAGCGCGGGTGGTCTCGTAATCTGAAAGTCGACCCCACTGGGAGGTCACACCGCCGAACGCGTTCGCGAACCGCGAACACGAACGTCGGAGGCACGTGCAAGCCACTACACGGCGCACGTGGCGGAGTTTTGTGGCTCTGCCCAGGCCCCCTGAAAATACCCATAGAGGTCTGATACCAGATACCAATCTTCCCCCCATTTTTACCGAAACCAAAATTCCCATATTGGGATGTGTTTTACCCGAAAAGTATCCGACCTCTCGCCTTAGACGTGATTTTTACCGAAACATTGGTATCCAACCTGAGGACTTGAGGATATTTATTTATTCACAAAAAAATTCCAGTGCCTGCAGTCATACCAGATTCAGTTATGTATGGGCTTTATGAGCCTCTCCGAGGTGCACTGGTGTATATGGAATCCAAGAATCTCACCACCTGATTATTGTGGCAAGTTGTGGCACTGTTGTGGCCATAATTGTTACCCAAATAGTATCCGACCTTTGCTCTGGATGCCTGTTTTTACCCGAAAATTGGTATCCAAGATTGATCCCACCGGCAGGTTCTTTACCAAAACTGTATCAGACCTGGCACCCAGTTGAGGGTGATTTTTACCAAAACTGGTATCAGACCACTATGGGTATTTTCAAGGGGCCTCTCTGCCCACACAGATGCGTCCTTGTCAGGCCCCCTGCTTATGATAGAATGCATTCAAAACTGTTAAACTATCAGATCCATGATAATAGTGCTGGTCCGTGTCAATGGTATTTGTGAGATTGAACTCGTCGGGTGATTGGCGGAAAACATGGTAAGTAATCAGAGCTGTTTGTGCCACAGCTTGAGCATCCTGATATTCATTCGGACGTGCCCCTCTCCTCTCCCCCCAACTCATGCCACCGGTAGCAGTGTACTACTGGCAGTGTCATGCCACCACAAGCATAGTTAGTCATTGACATTGGGTTGGGTATATTCATTGAAACTACACTGCATATTAATGTACACTATTCAGCAATGCCGCAAAGTAATATGTTCATACCTACGGTTTATTTCCCCAGTTTTCGCTGTCTTTTTGCCAAGTAAGATTGCCGTGTGGCATCCGCCCCGGTCCAGACAACCAGTGATGGCCTTGTCGGGGGGTTTGACACCCGACAAGGGGTTTGTCTGCTTTTGTCGGGGTTTGTCTTGACGCCCGACAAGGACAGCACGTGATCCCCGGAGTAGGTTATTTTCTACTCCCGGATGCCGGTGCGCTAGATAATCGAGACTTGCATGTATTCAAACATGGCTGATAGTTTAAGACGGTAATGAATACTAAGGGATGAATATGGAGGCTCTACTAGTCTATTGTCATACTAGTACTAACCGTTGCGAGTGTGTGTAGGCCCGCTGGGCTCGCTTGCTTCTTGGTCGACGGATTGTTTATTAAATTATAGCTACTATTAGCTAGTACATCATGCCGTCGATGCCTTAAGTCCTTTTGTACTTGGGGGGAGTGGGCCAATGCTGTGCATGGCTGGTTACGAGTCCTGAGCTGGGCATAAGATACTCCCTATTTTACACTGTATATCATAGAGCTGACACAAATATTCCTATCTTTCTTGAAGTATCATTTGAATTTCACTAGACCGCTCGGGA